GTTTTTAAATAAATTATCATCTAAAAGTTTATATTAGATATTAAAAACATGTTTATATCATAAATAAATTAAATTTGATTTTTATAAAATTTAACATATTTATTTTTATATTTTTAGTAGTATTAAATTATTATAAAGTAGGTATTTAAGATTGTAGTTCTACCCAAACATTTAAAAGATGTTCATGATAGATAAATAAGTTATACTTGGGATATATATTTTTAAAGAAAGTTAGGTTTAAACCTACTAAATTATAATAAAATCTAGTTTGACCTAATTTATTTTTGTGTTTAATTGTAATCGTAAATATAAAAGCATGTAAAAAATAATTATGATATATATATTTATGTCTTTAAAAGTTATACATAAATTTTTTAATATTACAAATATATAAATAAGTATTGTCCCCACTATCTAAAAATTTTAGATGCGTCACTGTATGTAATGATCCATGTTCGCGGATAAATTTGTCTTTCCATATGTAATCACCAGTTAAATGTGTAGCTTGTTTTGTATATATACTATAACAAAATATTTATCGTATAGATTATATTAGTTATACAAAATAAATTATTCATTAGTTTATTAGTAAATGATTACGTAACATTTAAACTCAAGAGATTGTTTAAAAAGATTAAATTTAGTATTATTCATACTTATAATTTATATTATATTTTGTGCCATCCAAGATATATTATTTCAGATATAATCTAAAATGGACTTGTTGAGATTGATTTACTCATACGCTATGAATAAACTCCTTCGTCTTCATATTTAGAGCTGATAGACAAGTGTATTATTCTATATATAATCCAAGATGGACATGTCAAAATGATCTTAACCTAAATCTTTCATCCCTTGCCTCTCACGTTAGCCAACCATGGAACCCCCCACCTTACAACATCTATTGATCACAAACGACGATGAAGAGGATCTTATTCTCCCAGACGAACCAAACACCAACCTCACAAATGATCTATCACTTTGTATGTTGGGTTGGTTCCTTACTGATAGAAACATTTGCACAAACATTATGAAGGAATGCATGGCAGAAGTGTGGCATCCCAGGAGAGGAGTTTCCATTAAGGAAGTCGAGAAGGGGCTTTTCTTGTTCCAATTCTTTCACGCACTGGACATGCAAAGCATCTTAAAAGGTGGTTGTTGAGATTTCCGTTGAAACTACTTTTGTTATCGTTGTAAATCACTTTAATTCTATCAACGGACTCAAACACGGCAAGTATACCGGTCGTTCAAGTAGTAAATTATATCGTATCCACAGGGACTAGTAGGTAAAATAAACATTTATTGACTATTGGTGACTAAAGAATGGTTCGATGTTCAGGGATTGTCATGCGATTCAAATAAAGGTTATGACCTATGGAATGTTAAAGCTATAAAATTAATTGTGTGTGTGGAAGGGATAGAAATGGTGTTGTGGTTTTGTAAGATTGTGGGGTTAGAAATCACCGAACGTCACACTAATGAATCTTTAATCTCTTATTACATTCATTATCTAGTCAACCCATAAGTTTACTCAAACCTAATCCCTTAGAGCAAGAGCCTAGGTGCGGATAGTGAATATCAATTCCTTGAGTTTCCAATACCTACACCCGCATTACGGGTTAGGGTTTAAGACTACTAATGGGCCAAACTCCATTCCTAGATACATTTCCCACTAGGTATTTGTTTCAGAGCTAGTTCAAAAGGCTATTTTCCAATACCCAATGGACTCTATATCAAGCAAAGGATGATCAATCCAAAGCAAACATTAAGAATAGAAACATAACACAACAATGAATGAAACAACATATATATACATATATACATATATATATATATATATATATATATATATAGAGTATATCTACTATATATATATATATATATATCATCAAAAATGTAAAGATTACATAAGAGTTTCGCTGGTTACATCTAACCCCACAAAATAATGGGTAAAACTGCTCAAAACAATGAGGGTGAAACAAAAATAGAGATGGAAGAGAGACGGAAGAACCGAAGGAAAGACCCACACACGAACGGTCCCAAGCACCGGGAATCCCTTCCTCAACTCCTAGAAGTCGCCCAATGTGTGAATGAGAGTAAAATCCTCAAAGACTTTCTCAAATACGAGTTGGGGGAGTTAGATTAGGGTTACCACGCTCGACGCATTATGCTTTGCGCCCGGCGCAGGGCCTTCCAGAGAGTTTGGTTACTCTTTGTCTCAAGACACGCCCGGCGCAATTTCTTTTAAGCCGGGCACGATGTCTTCTAGAGAGTTTGAGTTGCTCTCTGTCTTGAGCATGCCCGATGCGTCTTCTTGCACCTGACGCATTTCTGAATTGCAGAGAGTGTGTCTCTCTGTTCTTCTCAAGCCTGACGCGGGTAGTCTTGCGCCCGACGTAGTTACTCTTCTCCTGCTCCTTAGCTCCTTTAATTTCCAATCCAATGGGTCTTCAACTTTCAATTCCCCACTCAATACCTGCACAAAAAATGAGGTGTATAAAGGTATTGTTAGATGAAATTGGGTTAGCTATATCTGCAAAAAAATTGAATCAAAAAGAGAACAATTATATTGCAAGGGTGCATAGGATGAGTGGAATTGTTCAACAAGTCTTGTCTAAAAAGAAGTATAATTGAGACTTAACAGTTGTCCTTGGCCTTTTGGTTGTCGTCTTCTTATTCTAAGAGTCATCAACCCTGGAGAAATTCCTAGCCAAGTACCTCTCTTTACAGTCCCATTTTTGGATCCAATTACATAATATCCCAACAGGCTTTATGACACATACGGTTGGGCAAAAGATAGGAAACTATATAGGTGTTTTCTTGGAATATGATGAAAAGAATTCATCCAACTTCTAGCGTACCTACATGAGAATTCGCGTATTGGTTGATATAAGGATACCTTTAAAGAAAGCAAAACAAGTCAAGAAAATGGTTAGAGAGGCACATGACAACCTCCGGGTTGACATTCATGGCACCTCTACAGGATCACGGTGGTTACGTGAGAAAAATCAACATGCAAATCTTGGACATATCAAAAATCATGGACCTCGCAAGATTCACGGGACACCAAATTCTAGTATTTAAAACAATAATATCCCTTATCCGGGAATCACGGAAACCCACCAACGAACGAAATTAATGTCTCAAATTTTCAAAAACCCAAAAAACTTGTTTCCACTCCTGCACCAATATCCTAACTCTAGCACAACCAAAACATACAACACAGTAACTGATGCTCATGCCACCCATGCTATCATAGACGAAGATCTAGAAGAGCCCACTCTCATTATTGGTGACAGAAAACGTTGACATGATGATGAAAGACGTATTAATTGTTCATTGCACAATGACGACCAAGATGACTACGTGCATGCTGAGGAAGAAAACTAGACTAAAACTCATAATTTTTTAAGGGAAAGCACTAGAAATCAGACCTGTCAGGGTCAATGAGTTTCACCAGTTGGAACTACCGGGACTTAGGCAA